CTCGCTCGGCGCGGGGCGGGCTTACCGGTCGACGGCAATGACCCCGAGGGTCAGCATGCTGGCCGAGCTGATCAGCAGGTAGAGGAGGGCGGAGAAGTGGCACCAGACCACCCCGAAGATCCATTCCCGCCGAATGGCACTCGTCACCACGAACGGCAGCACCAGCACGGACAGCAGGAAGTTAGACAGGGTCAGGCTGAAGACGAACTTGTTGCTGAGGGTGAGGAGGTAGGACTTCTTGTACAAGGTGACCACGATGACCAGGTTGCCCAGGCAGACAAAGATGGTGATGATGACGATGGCGATGAACTCGGGGACGAGGACGCCCCCTTCGCCACCTACCTCCGCGGTGAGGTTGCTCAGCTCCTTCCAGTGGCCCAGGGAGGAGTTGAGGCTCATGGTCAGTGCGCCTGGGCGTGGGGTGGGCGGGGCATGCTGGACGACTGGAGGAACACGAAGACCGGGGGACAGGGAAAGGGTCATCAGACCGCATCGTGACCTTCACGAGAGCAGTGGAGGCCCCCGGCCACCCAGCTCATCTAGAGGTCTTGGCCACCAAGCTCCACGTGGCCTGTTTTCTGTAACCAGCTTTGTGTACGACTCACTGTGTCCCTTGAATGAGGCATTCGTCCAGTCCAAACCACCCTGCCCGTTCTCCCAAGGCCAGTGGCTCAAAACCTCCAAAGTGCTGAAGAAGCACCTGGAGTGCCAGCCCCAAGAGCGGATCCTTGGGGTCCGTGGCTGGATTCTGGCCCCAGAGATAAGAGGTTGAAATCTGCGGTTGAAACGAGCAGGCTGGAGCAGGTGGTTCTGTTACAAATGGCTTACGGGGCTGCACTGAGGACCCTCACGACTCAGGGCGGGGTCCCTGAACCAGCAGTGTCACCTGGAGCTTGTGACAGAGGCAGCATCTCCGCTCTGACTCGCAGAACCGGGATCTGCGTTCTGATCCCATCTCCAGTTGACTGAAGTTCACACTGAGGTTTGACACTAGCTTATCATGGGGGCGCTTCTGAGTCCCTGAGCGGGGCTCAGACCAGTACAGCTCATAGCGGGATGTCGTGACTGCTCCTGCCGCACCCGGTGAGGGGGGCAACGGCCTCAGCACTGACCGTAAACGGGGACCGTCGCGGTCTGGGCCCACAGACGCCCTGCTCTGTGCGGAGGATCCTGGCCAAAACTCAACGCCGACACGTTAACATTACATCCTAAGACGAACGTTTCTCCAAAGATTTCAGCTCCTTCAATCGGCCGAAACATCCCACGGATGATGCTCCCCACAAACAGAGGACACTGGGAAGGAAGGACAGATTGCTCTTCCTGAGCCAGACAAGAAGAACAGGGTGCGCTGGCGGACTCACACAGCCGCGACCCTCCCTACCGCTCCCCGGGCTGACCTGACACCTCCGTCCAAGCAGCTCCGGCCACGGGGAGCCGGTGGGCTCGGGCGGCTCCTCCCCTCGCCAGCAGACCTAGAGGAGAAATCTCCCTTCCTAGGGAGCCTGCCTGCTGACCTGGTGACCACAGGTCCCAGGCCTGCTGGCGTGGCCAGGACCGAATAGTTCTCCTCCCTCCACGCGCCAGTCTGGAAACACCTCACGAGTCACTCGCTTTTCCTTCCCCAGACGACATCTCCCGGTTCCTGATGTGCCTTCCAGAACGTTCGCTAACTAAGATGTCCCGCTTTGGACCTGCTCTCGGACGTCTGTGATCCCTGGACCTGTGTCCCCCCCAAACGGACGCACCATTCTGGACGTGGTCCGGTAAGTGTCGAGTGCAAGGCACAGTCTCCTCCGAGATCAGGATGATCGCCTTCTCTTGACTCTAATGATGCATTTTTTTTTCTTTTTTGGCAACTGCTGGGCTGATATAAGCATATGGCCGACTAAGGCAGAAAGTTTACACACACAGGAATTTCGGCGAAGGCAGGTGTCCCCCATCTTGAACCTCCAAAATTAATGTTTTTAAGCCTAAATATAAAATATTATTTATACTAAATTTTATTTTGGTCCCCCTTTCCAGGCTGCTACAATATTCTGAATTTTGCTTCGGTTACGTAATATGTTAAGTTGCTCTGGCTTTATGCTATGAATATCCTTCATAGGTAAGCTTTCCATGTCTGTGCCTTTGTGAGGTTATTTTGGGTTTTGTCTTCATCTTTTGAGTTCTGGATTTTGTTAACTCTTGTATGTAAATTAATTGGTGTCGCAAGGTAAGGTCTTAGTAAGGCTATTACTCTTAACTACACAAGTGATATAATATGGTGGTTAAGAAAACACACTTTGAGTCATTAGACAAATGACAAAGTGAGAAAATACGTACAACGTGTATCACAGAAAAAGGACTAATTGTTCTTTATAAAGAATTCCTAAAAAAAAAAAATCAAGAAAGATAAAAAAAGATAGAAAAGTGGATAAAAGACAAAAAATTGTGACTCTGTGATGGTATGGGTGTTAACATTATGCTAATCATTTCACGATATATACATATATCAAATCATTATGTTGTACAGCCTTGACCTTGCACAATGTATGTGTCAATTATATTTCAATCAAACTGGGAAAAAAAAGACAGAATTGAGAGAGAAAGATACGCCAATGGTTCTTAAACAGACGAAAAGAGGCCCTATTTCATTCAAAATAAGAGAAATGCACATTAAAACTACACTGAGATACCACTCCTTGCCTTTCGGGCCCGTAAAAACTCAGAAGCTTGGCAGCGCTCTGTGGAGAGGCATCCTCCACACCCCAAAAGCAAACGCAAAACGCAACGGCCCCACGGAGGGGAATTTAGCAAAACGACATCAGCATGACCTTTAGACCCAGCAATTCCATTTCTGCATATTTACCCTGAAGATACCAGTTCATAATACAAAATAACAGACACGTGAGGTTCTTATTTTTTTCATTGAGGCACTAGTTGTAAAAAAAAAAAAAAAAAATAGAAATAAGGGAAAAGGTAAATAAGAATACATTTGCACACGAATATATAAATATATGTTTACTTAGGCCAAAAAGAAAAACAGAAAAGATAAACCGGAAACTAAAACAGAGATGGCAGTAGAATTTCTCTAAGCGTTTGTTTAGTTTTGATCTTAGGTGCATGTAAATATTTTACATACTAAAATATTAAATAAAAATGGGTACGAAATAAACATAAAATTGATTGCGAACAGCAAAAAATAAGCCTCCCTGAGTGTCAGATTAATAACATAACCATGCAGAGAAAGATTATAGCAGATAGCTTTTGAATGCAGTATTTTGACCGTACACCCTTAATGGTATGCGTTCTATGCACTAAAGAACTAAGATGCCTTTAGTGGCTTAGATATTATTAATGTCGTAATGTGCTATGACTCTGTTTTGAGTGTTGCGACCGAGTACACGTGCTTATGCTGGCAGTCACTGTTTGCTACCGCGGGAGGAAGGAGAGATGAGCTATGGACGAAGGGAAGGTGAGGGAGACCCCGTATTAGATCGGTTCCTGGAGATTATCAGCATGAACTCACTATTCAAATATAAATATAAAAATAGGTCCGAGGAAATGCCCCGGAAAGCAGTCACAGAGATTCAAAAACTTGAAAATACAAAAGGCAAATGAGAGGATGACTAGGAAGTACTTCAGGAAGTATGATCGCTTCATCCCAGCTAAGTGCACTGCTTTTCATGTATTATGGAGATTATTTCTGGCAATATGGTGGACTTGGCCGACGTGAGCACGTTTCCCACTCCAAATTCACAGACGTGCTGGATTAAACGTGACCTCCCAAAAGAAAATCTCTCGAAAGTGCCGAGGAAAAGAATTCTTGCCCTAAAAGAATCTATAGTATCACGTGAAAGAGGGTACCATATACTTTTGAGGCAAACAGCACCAGAATATTGAGTATTGACTTCTTATCGAATGATCTACATTCACGAAGGAAATTGAATCCAGAAATTAGGGAGGGGTAGGATGCCAGAATCAAGTGTTAGAAAAGAAACTGGTAAATATAAGAACTGCAAAAAAAGTTTTTAATTAAAAGTGTTAAACATCAACAGCAGATGTTATAAAAGTAGCTCATCTGGGCGCTTTGAAATCGAGGAAATTAAAACACTAAGCAAAATGGAAGCTCTTCAACGTGTGACTGGAGTAAGAATATCCTAAGTGAGTCTTGGGGCAGAGGCTGTGGTCATGGCCGTTTCCCCAGTCCTTGGACAACGCCTGGCACCTGGAAGGTAACTCAGCAATTACTTGTTGATGAATGACTAGCCTCCCAACCTTCTGTCATTGTTAAGTCAAATACGACGCTTAACGCTATAAAAGTGACCATTAAAAGAACAGAAAAGAAAGAGTACCCCTCCCTCCACCTCGTTACTCTCCGGAGGCCCAGCTGGCAGGCACACGGGGCACGGTGAATCCCAGCCCAGGCCTGGCAGCCCCGCTCCTCACACCCTCTGCTCCAACCCTCCCCAGGAGGCAGAGGGGGGCTGCGGGCCAAAGACTTGCCCCCAGGGAAACCCACAATTTCAGCCCCTGCCAGGAGGCCCCTAGGCGTGGGGCAGGCACAAGCCCCAGCAGACACCCCGGGGCTGTACTTTTAAGGGAGAGGGTTTGGAATGCCAGTGAAGGCTGCCTGGCGGGCGGACAGCTTACCAGGGCCTGACAAGCCGGGGCCCAACTAATGAAGCAAATTCAAGCGTGACTCACGCTTCTACCCTCCCGGCTAGTTCTGCTGCCAGACACAAGGGTGTCTGACCCCCACCCTCACTCCGTCCTGTCCACCAGATAATCCCCTCGGGCTGCAACGCCGAGGAGCAACACGAAATATCAGAAATTCTTCCCGAGAAAGAGCGTTCTCCCTCCCAGAAAGGTCACAGGGAGGGCGGGACATCTACTTGTCATTACTGTCACGGTTCAATGTATTATGGTCACTCCTCTCTTCGTTCGCTGGATTAGATGACCGGCAACAGCCTTGAGTCATTCAAAGCCAAATCATGTCACTCAAGTGATAGCATCATTTTGGGTTACAAAACAAGGTGACACTATAGAATATTCAGACAGGTACCTATTGTGTTTTATAAATTGGCTTGCATGGTAATTCCCAAGAAATGATTCTGGAAATGCCTTGATTGGCAAGGACAGAATTACTACAAAGTGAGGGCGGAGTCCCTCTTATTTATGCAAATGTGGATATTCTGTGGTTTTGACTTTCATCGACCTATAGGGAACTTCTTTCTTCCTGTTGACAGGCTGTGGAGGTGCATTTGTCAGAAAGACCCGGAGGCACGGTGGTTAAGTGTACAGACCCTGAGGCCAAAGGACGGGGTGTGACGCCCAGCTCCAAGGCCAACAGGTAGGTGCACAAGGTGTTAGAATAAACGACCCTCCTGAATAGTCCTCGTCCCCACTTCGAAGGAGCCCAGGTGAGGTCACGGCGATGCTGTTTGGCTGTATGCTCAAGGGC